TGGAAAGAAATAAGAAACACTTGTCTTCAGTGGCTCTCTCTCGGAAAGTCACTGAACTCGCGTCGATTAATTAACGCCCGAGGAGGCGCGACTGCATGGAACACGAATAACAAATCGAGAGAGAATGTTGTTTCTCGCATTTGAACGCCGGAATGGCTCTTCTCGTCCACCGATCGACTCGAAGAACTTTCTTTTATACATCACCGTAATTTCTTCGATCGATCGCGAACGAAACCACTTCTAATCACTCTGTTTTCTTTCAGTGAACACTCGATAAGCGCGATACTTTACGAACGATTTGCCGTTTAAACGGGAGAAAGTAGACGAACAAGTGAGCTCTACGTTACCTTTCGTTTGTCGAACGCGTCCGCTCAGGACTTTCTTTCTCCCGACAGAACGTCGATTCAACCCTCTCTCCGAATAGTTCGGTATACTTTTCCACCGATAATTCTCCAGCTCTATGATCCGTTCCGCGAGAATACTCGAGTTTCCGGCGGGAACGCGTCCGTCACCGCGTTGTCGAAAGTCCGGTCGGTCCAGAATCGGGTCGGGTTCGCAGCTGGTCGCGGCACGGACTAATTAAATTTAATTAAACCCGACGATTAGGTCGAACTCTCGCTGGTGCTGGCACCCGGTCGGTAAAATCAACGAATTAGTTCTCGAATTTGAACCGCGCGGGACCGCACGCAGCGCGTGATCGATGTTCGATCGTCGAGCAAACCTTAGAAACGCGGCAGAGACTTTAGATCGGTTAGCCCGTAGATCATGCCTGGTTAGGTCTTTCTCCCGATGGTTTCTCTACCACGAACTCGACCGACAGGAGAACCGAGAAGGCTTTTGTTCTTCGACGACAGAGAACACGACACACTGTCCAAGTCGAGGGAAGATATTGTTCTATAGTTAGTTCAACTTTCTCTCCCCCAAACCACCCTCCACACTCACACACACACACACACACACACACAAAAGTGTAATTCGTGCATCAGCAGACAATGCCCGGATAGAAGCCACCCCTTTTTCTCGCCGCCCTTCAGAAATCACGTCTATCACGAGACATGGATTCTCTCGTTGGTTCAGCTAGGCTGAATTCTTTTTCTTCACAGGATTTCCGGTAGCTTAGATCTCGTAGGCTGTTCGAATATTCGCGATAGAAAAAAGGAAGGTCGAACGAGTGACTGTTTTTCTTTTTTTTTTTTTTTTGTCGATAGAGAGAGAAATATCTGACGATGAATCGAACGTGCGTCAGAGTGTAAACGGAGTAGAGAATAATAAAGATCGTAGAGGTTTGGCAAAATTGTAGAAAGAGAAACTGTTTTAGGGTAGGTGAGCTTAGCGTGCAACAATGTAGTGTGTGCTTGTGGTGTGGATTTCAGCAGGCGTACAGTCAGTACATCCCAGCGACAAGGGCCCAAGTATCGGGTGCCCAAGGTGGGCAGACCGGGGCTGCGATGGACGGGACTTACCTCGTCGAGGCCTCGTTCTGAACGGCCTGAGCCTCTCTTTAGCCAGTAAATAGAGTAAAAACAGTACAGTAATGAAAAAAAAAAAAAAAAAAACAGTAATAAAAGTAAAGCACGCTAAACCACAGATCCGTACGAAAAATGTCCGAGATTAATATAGAGCAGAGTAATACCTAGAACAGAGTAAATAAGCGAAAAAAAAATGAATGACGAAAAAAAAAAAACGAAAAAAAAAAATAAAGACGAATAGAAATGGATCTCGAGAAAAAAATAAAAAACACGCATGATTTAGAGAACAACCACGCGGCGAGAGCGTTTTGAGAAGGAAAGGTAACACGAGATAACAAAATTTCACATGACACTCCGAACACACTCGGCGAACTCGAGAATGATTTTCTAACGAACGGAGAAAATTGATCGGACGTGTCCCGATCGACGATGGATCTAAAAGGAAGAAACACCAAAAGACAACAAGTATAAAATAAGATAATAAAAAAAAAAAATAATAATTGACACAAGACACACACAGTGGTTAAATGTTGTAAAGTACACGATACAGAAATTCAATTGAAATTCTTCTATTTCCTCATTTCCGTGCCTACCTGTTCATCGACGACCACGCGGACTCACTGGACACACACACGCAACAACGATGACGTCGCCATCGTCCGCCAATCGTCGTCATCGCGGACGTCTATCTACCTGTGCCATCCACGAATAATAACGTTGTCTCATCCTGCTCGCTGGCGCATCCGACGTCTCTCTTTCACACACACACACGTCACGTCCTACCTCTCTGTTCATCATCCGTTCGTCGTTCTCCATCGATGGACAATCCACCGGCGAATGTCTTTTTTTTTTCTAACGAACGCACACCGAATGTCGCATGCGTGGAACGGAATATAACGAACGAAATGAAATGAATACAAAACGTAACATCGAATAAACAATTCGTCCACGTGAAACCGTGCGAAACTCCATAATGAACCCTCCGATGGATCTCTCTCGCACGCTCTCTCTCTCTCTTCTTTTTTCCCTCTCTTTCGCACTGCGACGGAATTTTCGTGGACGACGTGTGGAAATAAACGGAACGATAACTAACGGACGATAACGGAAACACGCTAACGATGGAATGGAATTGGAAAATTTTATACACCTCTCTCTGCGTGTATATACGTACGACGGGATGACAATCGATGAAAACACGCAACGACGACATCATCGAAATAATGAAATATCGAAAAACAAATCATATATATGTATATATCTGTGTATATATATACGTATGTATATTTCGCGGTGTTTGAACAACGATGGCCGTCCCCCGACAAAAAACACGAAAACGATCCACAATTTTAGAGCTTGTCTTATCAGCTCACCTCGAACGAGAGCAAGGATAGAGTGGTGCTCGTATATGGAGACCGTATACAAGTGCGGAAAAAGGTAAAGAAAACCGTGTTACCTGGAAACCATTTTGGATTACGATGATAATTCGATGTATTATTACATTACTATGTTATATCGTTTACGTTGCTTTTGTGCGCGCGTTTCACGATCCACCGACCGTGTCCCTTGTGTGTAATACGTTTTGTGCTTGTGCGTGCACGCGTATCGTGAAATTCAGATTGATCAAAGTCGTATAATATTTACGGGGCTGTAGATAACTTTTGGGTGTTTGTGTACGTTTTAAACGAAAGAAAGAGAATATCGGGGAAGGAGGAAAAAAGAAACATGCCGGAGGAATTTTCAATCTTTCACGATAGTTTAGTCGGAGTGTGTATAAAGTTCTCTCGTTCGTGAAAGATTTTGATGTTTCTGAGAAGTAAAGGAGAGACGCAGTTTCGAGTCTGTAAGTTGAGCCGATATCGTCTTAAAGTATGGATTATCTGTAAGATTTGATCGTGTACAAGCATGTACGTATTATATACAGAAGAACGAGCGTGTAGAATCGGCACGCGCGTACAATCTTCCACGATGTTTATCAAATGTGTATAAGATCTATATATATTTATATATATGTATACTATTGTGTGGCCGTTTGGGAGAATATGAGGCAGCTTTTTTTGTCCTTCGACGGAAGGATCAGGACGAAGGACACACGAAGGCCTCCCCATGCATCCCCCTTTGGTGGTCGAGAATTATATCGTGTCGCGTGGCTGATCCCTGGATTGGCTTCTGGGTGTCTGCTTTCCCCCGAGAAACACTTTCCCCTTCGCTTCTTTCCCTTCAAATACTTTCCCTCTCTTCCCCAAGGCAAATTCATCCGGATAGTAAGCTATATACCGTCGCCTTCTTTCGTATTTTTATACTTTTAATTCGTGAATTTTTTGGTACACCTTTTTCTTTTGGTTATGAAAGATTTTTCAGTTGTTTGGATTGTTGGATCTTTAGATGCTCGGATTCTGGGATCTCTGGAGATCCGAATTTATGGATCCTTGGATTTTCAGATTCTGAGGTTTCTGAAGACCCGAATCTATAGGTCCCTGGATCTTTCTGAGTACCCGAATTTCTGGATCACTGGATCTTAGAACTTTTCTTTTTTCTTTTGAGTTCGCGGATCACTGGATCTTTGGATCCTCAGATTCCAGGATCTCTGAGGACTCGAATTTCTCGATCTCTGATTCTCAAATTCTGAGATTTCTAGAGACCCGAATTCTCAAATTTTGAGATCTCCGAGGACCCGAATTTCTGGATCTCTGGATTCTCAAATTTTGAGATCTCTGAGGACCCGAATTTCTGGATCTCTGGATTCTCAAATTTTGAGATCTCTGAGGACTCGAATTTCTGGATCTCTGGATTCTCAGATTCTGGGATCCCTGAAGTCCCGAATTTCTGGATCTCTGGATCATAAAACTTCTTTTTTTTCTTTTGAGTTCATGGACCCCTGGATCGTTGGATTTTCAGACTCTAGGATTTCTATTTCGGGAGATCCCCGAGTTCGCGGTTTCTTGGATCGTTGGCTTTTCAGATTCTAGAATCTCTGAAGACTCTAATTTCTGGATCATTAGATCTTTGAATTCTCAGATTCTAAGATCTCCGAAAACCACAATTTCTCGTTCTCTAGATCTTCGAATCTCTAGATTTTTATTTCCCCAAATCTCCTAGATTCTCAGAATCCATCGGTCTCAATCACCTTGTTTCACTTTTCTCATTCTTCTCCGACTATTTCGTTTCTCTCTATCGTTTTTTTTTTTTCAACCCTCCACACGATTCTCACTTAATCTCTCAGTTTCTCTCAGACAGTTTTTTTCTCCTTTCTCGCGCGGTCGAGATCCTTCTCTCTGGCATGGTGCCTACTCGAATCCGTCGTGTTGCGGCTGACTCTTGATCTGGCTTCTGATTTATGCATCTCCCTCTATCTGGTGATCCCGGCTACGCTTCTTCGCTTCCCACGTTCATCCCTCGTGTATCTGCATCCAAGTAGGACGTTCCTAAGGTTTATATCCACCTATCACCTCTCTCTTTCTCTATGACCTATCCACAAAACCTCTACACGTCGCTTTAAATCCGCTGTTAGCTCCAAACCGGTTTTCTTTTCTTTACTTTAGCGAGCTGCGAGCTTTTCTACTTAGCGCGCCTATAGGTTTCACCGAGCAAACTCGAAACGGGAAAACACGTGTAAAATTGTAGAAAGACAGGTAGATCGTTCTAGTCTGTAACTTTAGTTAGCTGAAGTAGGAAGGCGAACGAATCGCGACGAACTCAGGGATGATTACACACCGCTGTTCGGTGATGTGTGCCAGGTTTACGCGCTTTTAACGCCTCGCCGCTTTTCCTTCGGCCTTGTCACGTCGCGTCGCGTCGTTTGGTCGTTCCTCCTTTGTTCACTGGACGTGGTCCGGCTGCGTAGCCTTTCAGAGGGATGAAAAGACACGAGCGAGGCGACAAAGGGTCGTGACGACGACGACGACACGCGATTCGCCGGTGGCTTTCACAAGGGTGACGAGGCCTCTGCTTTCGTCCTTGACACGTGGATCGTTATTGGCTAACGTGTTCCGTGACCAAAAAGGAGCATACGTCCTGACACAATCTTAAATTTAGCCCGATGTACGTGAATATTCTATCGCACGGGAGTTTAATTAGAGAAATTCAACGTCTTTTATGTCTCTCTGTCGTGCGAGTGTTTCGAAGAATAAAGGACAGCTTTCGTATGATGCATAAATTACTGTTCACGTGAACTTTGAAAATTTCCAGGTATCTTTTACCGAACCTTCGTGAGTGGCTTTGAGAAGATCACGAAAGTAATTTAGCTTCCTTTTTTTTCGCGAGGAAAACTTCCATCGTCGTTGAATCTACGTACAGGGTGGATCGGTAAGAATTTGTCACCTTGAATATCTCTAAAATTTGTCAGATCGTCGTATGGTCACAAGTAGACCGAGGATTTTTATGCATTTATGGAAAATTTGAAGGCACAAAGATACACATGTAGCGAATAAAACAATTGTCTATCTACCGTCTATTTTTTAAATTATTATACATTCATAATGTAGGAACCTAGGGAAAAATATCGAGGGACCCAACGGGAATCGAACCCGGGACCCTCGGCTTAGCAAGCCGAGGCTTTGCGCATTACTCCCTCTCAGGTTTCCTATTTGGGTATACAGGCCCCGATACTACAGTATCTTGAATTTAAATTTCGAATTATAGAAATTTCATTGCCAAATTTTAGAATTTTTAAAATTGGAATATTTAAATTTGAGTATTGTGTAGGAACCTAGGAAAAAATATCGAGGGACCCAAACGGGAATCGAACCCGGGACCCTCGGCTTAGCAATCTACGCCAACCACTCCCTCTCTATTTTCCCTTCGAGGTTTCCTATTTGGGTACGGAGGCCCAAACGGGAATCGAACCCGGGACCCTCGGCTTAGCAAGCCGATGCTTTGCGCGCTACGCCAACCACTCCCTCTCTATTGTCCCTTGTCGGTTTCATATTTGCGTTTAGAGGCCCCGATACTACAATAAAGATACGAATTTGCATAAAAATCCACAGTCTAGCCATAAGAAATCCCTCACTTCATTGTATTCACCCTTTAAAATTATTTAAATTACATATAAAAATTTTCTCTTATCATCGTAGCTATTTGTGACTCGTTTTACGTGGTCCACCCTCTATATATCCCGGCATATTATTTCCGTGCACTTCCGGCGCATAACGTCTTCACCAGAAACTTCGTGCCGTCGCATCGAAATTTTTCGCGACTGGTGATTTATTTTACGGGCCTCCGCTCTCCCTTTAAACTTTCCGCGGCGTGTGTTGCCACGACTAATGGCCCCGGCCAGCTTTAACAAGCGAGCCTTCTGATCGCGAGCGTGCAGGCGAACAGATGATTAATGCGCTGCGGTTACCGTGAAGACGTTGAACGAATTTCTCGATCCGCGAATCCGATCCTCTCTCGCGCTCTTCTAATGCGTTTCCCTTGTATTGTGCTAATGCTACGCGACCCTGCGCAAACGTGCGCATCGCGTGTACGTGCCGCGCCATTTTCACCCGTTTCCAAAAGCTTCTTAACACGATTCCCGCATCGAGAAACTTTGGAAATTTTCGAAAAGAGATCGAACAGAAAAGTGTCACGTTTCGAAGATTTATCGTATAATTTTTGCTGTTTCTCTGTTTTCTCCGATAAAAGAGTAATCGAAGTTTCGTGTTCGGTCGATAACACCTGTCAAGGTAGAATTCTCCGATTGTCGTCTTTGTGCCACTTTGAATTACCCCCGCGTCGCTATCGTGTCAATCCTATCGTTCAGTTTCAGAGAGAAAGGAGAGACTGTGTCGCGAAACGAACAAAACGGACGTGTTTGCTCTGCGGTATCTTTTTGTCTGTGCGAACGTTGGTCGGTAGACTGCGTGAACTGGCTCGTGGTCCAGG